CCCGGGGGTAGGGCGGGGCCACAATGGAGGATCAAAGTTTTACATAGAAATATATAGGAAAAATCTTTAAAAATCTTCTTCTCAAGAACAGCAAAGCCATGATGAGTCATATTTATATGGAAGCATCCTCAGGTAGTGTAGATTCAAGTTTGTACAAACTATGACCCCCGGGGGTAGAGCGTGGCCACAATGGAGGATCAAAGTTTTACATAGAAATATATAGGAAAAATCTTTAAAAATCTTCTTCTCAAGAACAACAAAGCCATGATGAGTCATATTTATATGGAAGCATCCTCAGGTAGTGTAGATTCAAATTTGTTGAAACCATGACCCCCGGGGGTAGGGCATGGCCATAATGGAGGATCAAAGTTTTACATAGAAATATATAGGAAAAATCTTTAAAAATCTTTTTCTCAAGAACAGCAAAGTCATGATGAGTCATATTTATATGGAAGCATGCTCAGGTAGTGTAGATTCAAGTTTGTTGAAACCATGACCCCCGGGGGTAGGGCGTGGCCACAATGGAGGATCAAAGTTTTACATAGAAATGTATTGGAAAAATCTTTAAAAATCTTCTTCTCAAGAACAGCAAAGCCATGATGAGTCATATTTATATGGAAGCATCCTCAGGTAGTGTAGATTCAAGTTTGTACAAACTATGACCCCCGGGGGTAGAGCGTGGCCACAATGGAGGATCAAAGTTTTACATAGAAATATATAGGAAAAATCTTTAAAAATCATCTTCTCAAGAACAACAAAGTCATGATGAGTCATATTTATATGGAAGCATCCTCAGGTAGTGTAGATTCAAGTTTGTTCAAATCATGACCCCCGGGGGTAGGGTGTGGCCACAATGGAGTATCAAAGTTTTATATAGAAATATATATATAGGAAAAATCTTTAAAAATCTTCTTCTCAAGAACAGCAAAGCCATGATGAGTCATATTTATATGGAAGCATCCTCAGGTAGTGTAGATTCAAGTTTGTTCAAATCATGACCACCGGGGGTAGGGCAGGGCCGCAATGGACTATCAAAGTTGTACATAGAAATATATAGGAAAAATCTTCTTCTCAGGAACAGCAAAGCCCAGATTGTTCATATTTATATGGAAACATCCACAGGTAGTGTAGATTCAAATTTATTCAAATCATGACCCCCGGGGGTAGGGCGGGGCCACAATGGAGGATCAAAGTTTTACATAGAAATGTATAGGAAAAATTTTAAAAGTCTTCTTCTCAGGAACAGCAAAGCCTTGATTGATCATATTTATGTGGAAGCATCCTCAGGTAGTGTAGATTCTATTTTGTTCAAATCATGACCCCCATGGGTAGGATGGGGCCACAATGGAGGATCAAAGTTTTACATAGAAATGTATAGGAAAAATTTTAAAAGTCTTCTTCTCAGGAACAGCAAAGCCTTGATTGATCATATTTATGTGGAAGCATCCTCAGGTAATGTAGATTCTATTTTGTTCAAATCATGACCCCCATAGGTAGGATGGGGCCACAATGGAGGATCAAAGTCTTAAATAGAAATATATAGGAAAATATCCTTCTGAAGAACTGCAAACCATGATTAGTCATTTTGATATGGAAGCATCCTCAGGTAGTGTATATTCAATTTTGTTCAATGATGACCCCCAGGGGTTGGATGGGGCCCATTGGGGGATCGAAAGTTTTACATAAGAACATATAGAAAAAATATTTCTTCTCAAGAACAGGAAAGCTATGTTTAGTCATATTGATATGGAAGCATCCTCAGGTAGTGTAGATTCAAGTTCAAATGATGACCCCTGGGATAGGGAGGAGCCACAATGGAGGATCAAATTTTTACAAAGGAATATATGGGAAATTTTTTTTAAAATCTTCTCAAGTACAATAAAGCCATTTGTTATATTGACATGGAAGCATCATCAGGTAGTTTACAATTCAAGCCCCCCTCCCCCACCCCAGGTAATCTTTTCAATACTGAAGTGATTTGTGCTTTTGCCTAGCCAATGTGCTCAGGTGAGCGATGTGGCCCATGGGCCTCTTGTTAATTTTATTTTCGTGTGAAATTCTATAGCAACATATAAGTTGTGATATTATACAGAAAATTTGAGAAAATATAAGCTTCAAATCTGTGTCTATGCACCTTTAATCTTTTCTTTTCATGTTTTAAGAAATAAAAAATAAGATTAAAAGAATTGTAATAAAATTCAGATAATTCAACCACGACTTTACTGACAGTTCTCTTCCTCGCTGCCTTTAGAAAGAAAATGTATCTGTCATCGACTTGATATCCTCAGACGCGTATTACTGCTGTGTAATATTATTAAAGGTGCTTAAACACAGATTTGAAGTTAATATTTACTCAATTTTTCTGTATAATTTCATGTCTTATATGTTGCTATAGCATTTCATACGAAAATTTGATAAAAATCTTATTTTATCTGGAAGTTATTGAAACTTCAAATTTCTGGATGCGTTTGATAGACACATCCTTGCACTTTCACAAATTTTAACTTTATCCTTGTTACTTTAGAAAAGTAGCAATTTTGTTGTTTACTACTGAAAAATATTAAAACTATAATGCAGAAATTTCAGAGTAGAAATGTAGAAAGCAAAATCCTATCACCAGTATATTGTCAGTCCGTGCTCAGTGGTGTGTGCAGAGTTTAACAATTGAACACACCCGGTGAAACCTAAACATTAACAACAACAGAGCTCGTGCCCTGTTTACAAAAACAGTTTACGTTTCACGGGTGTATTCAATTTGTTAAACTCTGTACACAACTACACAATACTGAGCACGGGCTGACAAAACTTAAGTGAGTGGGTTTTGCTTTCGCACATTTTTACTCTGAATTTTCTGGATTATAGATGTAATATTATTCATTAATACACAACAAAATTGCTACTTTTCTTAAGTATTAAGGATAAAGTTAAAAATTGTGAAAGTGCAAGGATGTGTTAATCAAACGCCTCCCGAAATTCGTAGTTTCAATAATTTCCAGATCAAATAAGTTTTTAATTTTATTTTCGTGTGAAATTCTATAGCGACATATAAGTTGTGATATTATATAGAAAATTTGAGAAAATATAAACTTCAAATCTCTGTCTATGCACCTTTAAAATTTAGGAATTCCAACTTTACAATGGCTTTTCCAACAAATTCCAACTTTAAAGTTGGTAATGCCAACTTTAACCTTGGTTTTTTTCAACTTTTAAGTTGTAATTTTTAAGTCTTTTCCAACTCTAAAGTTGGTAATTCCAACTTTAAGTTGGTAATGTTAATTTTATTCTTGGCTTCTCCAAATTAAATCTTGGCTTATCCTATTTTAATTGGAGCTTTTCTAACCCTTTTTCTTAGCTTTTTCCCCTTTATTTTCAATTGATACCAAGTTTTTTAATACAAACTTAATACACTAAAACAAATTGGTGAGCAATTAAACTATGTCTACTATTGTTTATCTTGACCTTCCACATGATCTTGCATATAGTATAACGTACTTTCCAACTTAAAATGAACAGAATTTCTTTTGGGCCATATTTCATAATTCTATAAGGGTTAACGCCATGCAACCCCGTACATGACAGGAGTTCAACCATAGCTATTTAGGAGATAGAACAAATGTTTTGTTTTGTATGAGAGAATAAGCTCTAACAAATGTGACCATAATTAGGTGTCTCATATATCGGATGAATCAACATTACATTTCAGGCTACAAATACAACTGAACTAAATGTATCAATTCTGTATATGAAAACATAATGAAATCATTCCTTCATTCATCATAATTTCATACTTTTAAAAATCGTTTCTTTCCATTGTAATCTTTTTCTTGCCAGTATCTACTGCGTCACGGGGCCTCGGTTTAAACGGTTTCATCCGAAGGATCGTATCAATTTTATTTAATGGATATTTTAGTATTTCACTGTTGAAAATGGAATGAAATAAATTATATCAAAGTATACGTTTTCATTTTATGTAATCATCGCATGGTAAGGTTTTTCAGTCCGCTCCCAACAAACCCTTGGCAGAATACACCACCAAAACGTTAGCTGATACGTTGTTGTTTTTTTCCAAGCTAGATCCTCGGAACCAATGAGAAGCCTGCTTTCATGGTGCATTACGTCATGTAATAAAACAAGTGACGAACAATCACCTATAAATATTTTGTTACTCCGTGTTCTTCTATACACATATACATTATCTTCTCCCTTCATATCCATCTTCGTCTGATAAACCTTTAATTACTTCCTGTAGCTTTTCAATTTGTGCTTTCGTGTACATCTTTATTTACAATGGATACCGAACTATAATATGAAAACTATTACCCGATTGGCTGGAACTCAGAGTTCAAATTAGAAGATGCCGTTTATGTCGGCCAGAGTTTTAATGGTGTATTCTGCTTGGGGTTTGTGGGGAGTGAAGCGGACCGAAAATCCTTGGCTTTTGAAGATTTTTTTTATATTTGTGGGGTACAATTTTTGTAAAAACATTAAAATATATGTTGTAGTGTTATAAGAAATACCCACTATGATGGTGTTAAGCATAAAATTCTTGTGTTCACCAGATTTGAATTTGAAAAATAATATTTCATTGATTTCTTTTAACTATTTTTTTTAAATTGTAATTGAGTGGGATTAAGTTTTTGCAAGTATGGAGTAGCATGTGTACTGTTTTCATAGAAATTATAAACATATGAGATTTTGATTGATTTTAAATAGAACTTTCTGAGTTGTCCACTTGCGTCGAAACGTTTTGCAGATTGGGCCTTAATTTTTGAAGCTATGTGAATTTAATGATCCATCTAGTATTCAAACAAATATATAAAGGGCGCTCCATATTATTTTCAATGTGTGTTTAAATTATTCCTCTTTTATTTCTTTTTTGACAGTAAACGGGGGTTAATGTTTTGTACACTAAATGCAAGCATTAATTTACATATTCACTCGTCTGTTATATGAACTGTACACCAATGACTTAGCAACAAATATCAGCAGAGGTGGAAATCATGTATCTATGTGCAAAATCATTCCAGAGGGTATGTCTTTTATCTTAATATCTAAAATACAGATGAGTATTCTTGACAATTTAACCCTTTTTAAGGTAAAAATAATAAAGCAAAGATATACTTGCTAGATTAGATTTTTTATTTGTAAAATGTGTTTGACTATGACTTTTTTTTGTTATTTTTTTTTTAAATTTATTATTATTATTTTTTTTGAAATATTTATTTATTAAAATTATCATTGTTTTTGCAATGACTTTATCACTTTCTTTTTGCAGATATTTGTTCAAGGTTTTTCAAGGCGAGGTTTTGCCAAAGAAGCTGTCTTTGAAATAGAGGTATTAATCCCTATAATATTATCATCATATCAATTATATATTTAAGTAAATATTTTGCTTTAAGTATATTTTGTTTTGAATTTTGATTTATCCTTAAGACCCTCTAAAAGAGGTTCAACTTTATTGTGTAATCCTCGTCATTTTTTTTTCTTGGTCAGCCTTATCAATTACATAGATTAGACACTGGTCCTTCAACTAGATTTACCCTCACGAGGAAGGATGCCCTCGGTTATTTCAAGATGATGACAGGAATGAGAGAGACGGGAGATGCAGCACAGAAATTGTTTGATCAAAACTATATTCGGGGACTTCTTCATCTGTGTTCAGGAATGGTAAAAAAAAATTCTTCCTTTTCTTTTAATACCCTCTGAGGTATTCCAAAAAGTTTTAGCTTTTTCATTCATAAAAAAAAAACTTCTATGGATGTCCCACTTTGGCATGACCTTTATTTTCATCTATTTTCCCGATACCATCTTTATTGCTGTTGTTCAGGTTTCTTGACTCTCCTGTCATTGTGCTTCATAGGGATTGATTCAGATTCCGTCAAATGTAAAATTGTCCTGTATCCCTAATGTAAAACACAAAAATGAACACCATCATCTCCAAAAAAAAAAAAAGAAAAAAAAAAAAAAAAAAAAAAAAAAAAAAAAAAAAAAACTATAATTCTTGCTTGTCTTAAAATATGTATGATTAAGTTAACATATTTTAAATGTACTTCTTAAAAGAATTTTGGATTCCGATTTTGTTTATGGATTATCAAAAGTCTTTTAAAATATTCCCTGAATACATTTCAGCTGTCTTAAAGAAATTCCTTCTTATTCAACATTTCCATAATGTTCCTTTATTAAACCATAGTTTAAGTAAATGGTCTGATACTATTGTAACAAGTAATTGTAATTAAATGTGTGTTTCACATTTTAATTACTCCTATTATGTATGTTTACGTTTGTATTGTCCATGTCCACTCGTGGTGTTTATGTTAACTATGTGTACATGCCATGTATTTGACTATATTTAAAGTTTGATCTGTTTCTTGTTATAATATCTCTAATTATTCCTAAATTAGTCAACATGATGCATATGCTCAAAAAATTGATTGTTTGTTTGTTGTTTTACGTCCCGTTCAAGAATTTTTCACTCATGTAGAGACGTCACCATATACCGGTGAAAGGATTCAAATCTAGACCTTTACTCGGCACTCAGGGCCATTGAGCAGTGAGGGATCTTTATTGTGCCAACGCTTACCGTGACACGGGACCTCGGTTTTTAAGGTCTCATCCGAAGGGCCCTGCAACTTTTACTTCAAAGTGCCTAACGCTTGGCAAAGGAACAGTTGCTACCCATTTTTTTATCGACTTCAGTCAGTCGCCGCCGTGATTTGAACACACGACCTTCCGATCACGGAGCGTGCGCTCTACTGATTTAGCTACCGGCGATATGCTCAAAAGAAGAACACTATCTGTTATATACATGTATATTTTATCCTATTCCCTGATACAGGAAGCTGTGCGAGCTGGAGTAGAAGCAGCCATAACATCAGAGGACATATTAGTTGGCACATACCGTATTCATGGCTGGGCCTATGCTAGAGGGATACCAGTCGAGGAAATTCTGGCAGAATTTTTAGGTAAGCATAGTTAAAGAAACTTTTGCTTTTCAATTCATTTTTGGATGTCGTGGGTTGTATAACAGCATCTGGCCTTGCAGACAAATTGAATACCGCGCGATAGCGTTAATTTGATAATTTGTCAGCACGGACAGATATTTAAAAAAAAATCAATAATTATATTTACATTCTCTAATTTTCTCTCTTCTGTAATGTTCATTCCATTCAACATTATTATAAATTAAGCGCCTTTCAGACCTGATGTGGTCAGTAGACGTAAGAGCCGTTATGACGTGAGAAGTTACATAACAAAAATGAATATTGTGAGAGGGAAAATGATAAATTAATTCTAATTGTACAATTATTCTATTTTAAGCTCACCTCGAAGAAGTCGAGATGAGCTTATGCTATACCCCCGACGTCGGCGTCACGGTTAAATTGTTAGGAGCAAGTCCATTCCCAAATAACTTTAAGCCCTACCAGGACCAAACTTGCATGGATGATGCATCTAGGGATGGACACTACCGGACTTGCTTCGAATCTTGCCGCCGTTTTCCTCATCGGTGACCAGATTAAAGGTTTTGGAGCAGGTCCATTCCCAAGTAACTAAATGCCCTACTTGGACCAAACTTTCAAATATGATGCATCTAAAGATGTACACTTCCCAACTTGCTTCGGATGCTGGATTTAACCTATCAGATGAGTGAATTTTAGCAATACTTTAACCAAATTAGCATGGGTGATGTATATAGAGATGGACACTTCTAGACCAACCTTGGCTATTATGTGGCCTGTTATTATTAAACTTGCACAGATGATGCATCTAGAGATAAATACTACCAGACTTGCTTTGGATGCTGGATCCGACCTACATTTTCCAGAATAGTGACCAGGTTAAAGTTTTTGGAGCAGGTCCACCCCAAATAACTGTAAGTCCTACTTAAACCAAGAGGAGTGAGCACCCCCTGCCGACCGGTCACATCCGCTTGCTTCTTGGGTTTTCCTGACATTCCAGCATAGTGAAATATAAAACAAACAAACGAACAAACACTCATAATTCTATACATCACTGCATGATGGATAATAGTTAATACAACTATTTATTATCATATTATACAATTATTAAAAGAGACAATGACTCAAAAATGTTTCTGGAAAAGCTCAATAACATACATTTATTACCGTAGTAACATTACAATGCAAAGTGAAAGCCATGTTCACTCTGAAAACTTTTGACGTTGGTGCGAAAGTAAAATGACGTCATTGTTTACCTGTTAAAGTATCATTGATATAAATGAAGAAAAAACCTACTTAGAGTTGACGTAGGGCCATAAAAATTCAGATTTGGCAACTTCTAACCTTGCTCTATTAATATCCATGAAAAAACTTAAAATGTGTAAAAATTGCCATAAGGCCCTTTTGTCATTGGCGCAATCATTTATCATGCATTTAAGACATCAGGCCTTCAACTTTCAGAAACAGTCATTGCCACTTGTTTGCTTTGCTGCAAACGTTAACTGGGGGACTCTGAACATGTTGAAAAATGCCATTTTTCAAACGTTAGGACATGTTGCTATGGTAACCATGACACGTAGCAACCAATTTTTGCCTGATTTGAGTTTACGGTATCAAAGACTTTTATCATAGAGAGTTTGGAGAAATTCTGAGACTATGCGTGCCGCAGCTCCTATATAAAAGTTCAAGTCCTTACAGAGAATGGCTCTTAACAAGTGTGTAAATAATGGCCTTACAATTAGTATGAAATACGTCAGTCAGAACTAGACTTAATGATAGATTGTATTTGCTGACAAGGTCATTGTATCGACCAAAGGATTTAGGATATGATGATTTTAAACGAGATTGTTGATATCCTTGTTTTATCGACTTGTTGGTCAAATGCCTCGTTTTGAAAATTGTTCGCACATGGAGCATGATCTTGCGTATCGAATCAACTGAGAAACATAAACCCTATATGCAAGTGATAAGGTCATATAACATTCGTCAAGGTGAGCTTAGTAGTCTATTACCTATGTTTGAGAAATGTTTGAATCAGAATTGACCTTGAAAATATATCTGAAATTTCTGATATTCCCTCGTTTTTCACTGAAAATGTATCAACATCACATCCATTGTTTTTTTTTTTCCACAGGGAAATCAACTGGGCGCTGTAAGGGTAAAGGTGGCGCCATGCACCTTTACTCGAGGAACATGCTTGGTGGCAACGGAATAATAGGAGCCACGGTAGATATTTCTTTTATTACTAAGAATTCATTTCTTTAGTTCACTATTTAGATCATCCGTTTTCAATACAGATTTTTTTTTAAAATTTTTGTTTTATTACAATCCATTGTTATTTTCACAGTGTGGATTTTTCAATAAGCAAATTTTAAATGGTTACGGGGGGTATTTGTGTTGTCACATCGACACATCAAGTTAAATATGCTGTTTACAGTATCAGCTTTTAATAAATCAGCATGACTTTGTAAATAGATGCTTTTAGTAAGAAAACAATTTTCATCTAATCATAACAAAAATTTGCATGTTTGTTTACCAAAACGTCCTCTTCGTCTTGTGGTCAGTATCAACAAAAAAGCTTGTAAGCGTAAGTCAACTTCCTATTCACTGATAGACCAATAAAAGGCACTCAGCAAATTGATTTAAAAAAAATAAATCATTGTGATCTTTCCTAAAATTTATTCTACATTCAGATTAAACACTTTAACTCTCTTTTGCGTCTTGCCATCTTAGCCTACAAATCATTTGCTTATCACTTTATGCAGTGCAAATCTGACTACATCTTATAAGGAACTGTTTATAAAAGGTGCGTTTGAATAATAGATTCCACTCAAGCGACGATTGTCTGGAAAGCACATAAGAAAGAGAAAAGGCTTTTATTTTATGCAAGGCAAAGAGCTAGGTTCACCTTATGAAATAGCACTCTCCTTATACCAATTAATGGACTATCACTCTCTGTCCCATTTCTAATATCAATATAGTGTAGATGCTTAGTTCTTTCATTTCCTATAATAATGTTTTCTTTGAGACTCCAGATATTGGAATACAGGGTTTGAGAAATTGTGATGTTCTTGAATTTTGCAGCAAAGAATTAAAATATGAGCACTCCCCTCAAAGCAAAAAAATAAAACGTTTTTATAATCTTCCGAAACAATTCTATCATTATGTAATTTCATATTTTGGATCAAAGGTAGTGCTCTATACGAAATATTGACAAATAACCTAAATGACTTTTCAGGGTATGGGGAAAATTATGTCATTTTCAATAGATATGCAGACACCAAGCGTCCAACTGATATTTAATGCATTATCCACTTACACTAAGCAGTTATTTTTTCAAATTCACAAGGCCAAATACACCCTAAGTAAACCTTGCTCTTTTTATTCTCGAAAAGGTACCTCTTGGAACCGGTGTAGGCTTTGCAATGAAATATAAAAAGAAGCCCAATGTGTCTATATCTGTCTATGGAGAAGGTGCAGCCAATCAAGGCCAGATATTTGAAGCCTTTAACATGGCAAAACTTTGGAACCTTCCTTGCATCTACCTTTGTGACAATAATGTATACAGTATTTCAACAATAGCAGAGAGGGTGTCAGCCATCACTGAATTTTATACCAGAGGAGACTACATCCCCGGACTGAGGGTAAATTCTTTTGTGATTATTTTTTATAATGTATTAAAACACATTTATTTTATTTAAATAACAATACATAAAAATGTATATATCCGATTATATAAGTTTCTTTCTTTTCTTTTCCTATAATAGGTTGATGGGATGGACATTCTAGCTGTCCGAGAAGCCTTTGTTTTTGCCAAAAGATACGCTTTAGAAAATGGCCCAATTCTAGTGGAGACAATGTCGTATAGATACAATGGACATAGTGCAAAAGATGAAGGGCTTGAGTAAGATTGCTTTATTTCAGCACATCCTTTGGCGCAGAATATATTTTGGAGGAGTCTTTATAGAGCAGAGATGAAATTGTTTGGATTATTTATTTATCAAACATTTAAAGTTTATAAAAAAAATTAACAAATATAAATAAAATTTGATAAAATCTTATATCCCTGACGTCATTGTTTGTTAAAATTGCATTAAATTAAATAATTGGTGATAATTTGCAGGAGTATAATTTAATGTAGTATCTGATTTACATGTGACAACAAATAATTTGGATTTTTAGACAATGTCTTATAACACGTATGACACGTATGAATAATAAATAGTGAAAGCAGAAGTGGTGCAATATGTATCTCAATGATTTGGTTTCTGAGATTTTGCATTTTGACAAGTTAAAGGATGAAGCTTTGTCTCGACAAGATATATTACATATATTAATCATATAATTCAATGTTTTTTGGAGATTTTAAAGTTTAAGTTCAATCGTATCATATGTCTCATACTTACCATACTCTCTATTTCATAAAGTTACAGGAAAAAAGACGAAATAGAACACATGAAACAAACACAGGACCCTATAGAGAATTTTAAGGAGAGGATTTTAAAGGAAAACTTGACAGACGAAACGGAATTAAAGGTAAATTAAGGCGATACTGAAATCAAATTACCTATTAAAATTATGTAGATATACAAATATGTAGCAAACCTACGCATAAGAACTTATAACTTTTTTTTTCACTTCCGCAAGCATTTAGTTGAAGAAGTCACAGAAGAAATTCAGATTGCGGCAGAAAAGGTCAAAGAAGATAAGGAACCTCATCGTTGCTCTCTTTACGAAGATGTCTACCAGACCGAAGACTACCATACGTAATGCGATACCAACTTTTTTGACAAAAAAGCAAATAAGAGTTGTTTTGGTCGATTGCTTTTTCATTAATATTATTATTTTTTATTAACGTGTTTTACTCAGAAACTTGATCACAAATACGATTTGTCGTTAAGTCGAATGCTGACTGACATCTTTCATACAAATTGGTTTGTCTTTATTCACACTGGCTTTGTCATGGATATTACTAGACCATAACAAGAAGCACATGGTGGGTGTGACTGGTCGACTGGGGATGCTTACTCCTCCGTGGCACCTGATCCCACCTCTTCCATAACATCTCAACTTCTCTCTATTTCCAGAAGTCCAAAATGGCTTCGCCAGTTATGCAAATTATCCCACGTTTCCAACTATCGTTGATGCACTGGCATGTCCAACAAACTAGACAGTGATTCCTTAATATATACCTCATAGGACATCGTTTTTATATCTACGGTTGTGACGTCACAATGGTTTTTGCGTGAATTTGATCAAGCAAATCAAATCAATTTTTTGATTCAGGTTTCATCGATGAAAATTGTTTGTAAATTTTGTCAATTTTGTAATAAGCTAACAAGTAACTATAATATGCACTTGATTTTAAGTTGTTTTACCTTATTAGACGACAGCGAAAATATTTTTGAGGACATTTTAGATATACTTGATGTAAACGAGTATGTTTTGTTTGAAGATCAAGATCCTGATTTACAGTTTTTATCGTTAATGTTTTGTGTTCAAGGCACAAATTTTGAAAAAAAAAATATCTTTTACAAAATGGAAGCGTATTATGATATTCGTTGCCTCAACAGTATATAAAAACAAAAGTCTTTTTGCCATAGATTGTCGAAACCTGTAATGTTCTATTAGAAAATTGTACATATATAAATATGTTTTCTCTTTTGTATTCTATTGTTATATAAGTTAATTATTTGATCATACAAACTCTCTATTAATTTGGGGGAAATAAATAATATCTTATCTTATATATATCAACGGATTTGATGCCATATTCACAGGAGGTTCATTGCCACGGTGATTGTGACATCACAAACGGCAACGCAGTCGGCGTTGTAAACAATGGATACGGCAGTTAGAGTCAACTGTGTATCTCGGCAGGAAAAAAGTATTGCAAACCTATTGCCAGATTATAATCTTAATATATCGAGGGGAAATAATGTCTTATTATATTCTACGAAAACATGGATGTTTTCATCTTTTTTCAAAAGAAGATAATTGATGAAAAGGTTGTCGTCGCGCAATCTTCAATGTGTTCCATGTATTTATTTAATAACGGACTATATAACAAAACGACTAAGGATTTTTTTAGGTACTTAATACGGTTTGATATTCTTCATAAAAATATCTTTTTTTTCAAACCATATTAACCACCTGAAGAGTCTATAGTTGTATTATTATTTACTTCTCCAAATAATTTTTATTTGATATAATATCATAACTCAGCGCTTAATATTCCTATGAAACTTATTCAACCCCGATTTTGCAAAAGCAGGGAACAATAAATATCATTCGTCTGTCTGTTTGTCTCTCTATCTGCCACAAAAACTTTAACCTTGGTCATAACTTTTGATTGAGAAAAGATAGGGCGCTCATACTAGTTTTTCCACATGTGCATTACCTGTGAAAATACTTTTACCAAACTTTTATATTTTTAGACCCCGTAACCTTGAAGTTTGACCTACTTTTCCAAATTTTTTACGTCGATAATAACCTTTGGATGAGAGAAGATAGGGCTCTCATATTTACATGTACATTATCTGCGACTACACCTCTTAGAATGGACCTTTGTTTTCTTCATGACCTTGACCTAAACGTTTGACCTACGTATTAATAATTTTACATTTGGTCGTTTCTTTTGCAGCAGAAGACACAGGGCTTTCATATTTTATCATATGTGTATTACTTGTGACAAGATCTTCTGGAATGTATTATGATATTTGATCTCCCTTGATCTTGAAGTTTGATGCAGTTCTCAAAGACTTTAATCTTGGCCGTACTTTTATTCATTCAAGATATAAATCTTTTTGTATGACAGAAAGACAAGATATGACACATAGACATCTTGGTTATAAAATGCCTGAAATAATTACATCCCAACCAATAAGACACCGAAAGAAAGGACCACAATTCTTTGAATTCGCTTGTTGTAGTTTGTGATTCATATTCGATTATTGTTAATCATATAAACTGTGTACATAAACTTGTGATGTACATATATGCAAAATTTTATGTTTAATATTTGAAAAATTGATACATTTATATTCAAAGACTGTAACAATTTTGTTTTTTGTTTTGTTTTGTTTTGTTTTTTTTTTTTGTTTTGTAGTTTTGTTTTGATTTTTGTTATATTTACATGCAATCATTTTGTGATTGCTATGCGAAATCATGTGATTTATATTTGAAAAAGGACTGCATTCGGGAGTGACCAATATCTGCCCCCAAAATAAACCTTTGATTTTGAAATCTATAATTGTGTTCTAAACCAGGGGAATAGACTTGAGTGCACTACCTATTTTCATTAGCCATTATATCGTATGTTAGATATGAGGTCGAAAAGATGACATCAATTCAAATTTTCAATGATTTTGAGAGAAAAGAGTATATTTTACATCGATATTTTAATTAAAAGTCATTGAGCGCAGGTCTGCCCCAGCTCTATCTTTTGATATAATGGGTGGAATTATCATATCAATCAAATATGTGAATATTGTTATTGAGCAATCTTGCGCTCAGTAAATTCTATACTCAGAATTGAACAAATTTTGTTCATTTTGTCCTTTATCTTGAAAATAACGGAAAATTCAGTCGCCCGCGTGGCGCAGTGGTTAGAGCGTTTGCTCTAGAGTCGTGGAGTAAGGAGTTGATCCTTGCGTCGTGAGTTCGAATCCCACTGTGGGACGTGGAGACAGTATAAACCGAGGTCCCGTGTCGCAGTAGGTGCTGGCACGAAAAAGATCTCTCACTGCTCAATGGCCCTAAGTACCGAACATTGATCAAAATTTGCAGCTCTCCACCAGCAAGTGGTGGCGTCTCCATATGAGTGAAAAAAATCCCGAGAGGGTCGTTAAACAACAACAACAACAACAAAAACAAAATGCAAAACAAGCAAACTAAAAACGGAAAAATCAAATAGTTTGTGACGTACCAGAAACAAGCCTTGACGACAATCTACTTCCAAACTATAATAAGTTTTGTCAATTAAAAAATTTTATTCAATATATAAAATTGTGTACATTTCTACAGATTTTCAAAATTTGCCTTTTATTGAGGCAAAAATATGCTTTTAACGCATATAGTTCTTTGTTTTCCATATTCTAAAACCGGTTTATTTTATGCAATAACTTGTGATTATATTTAATAAAGTGATTTATGTTCGAAATATTATAATTAATATTAGAAAAGATTGTTATTTGTATGCAAAAACTTGTGAATCATATATATTCGATTACTTGTATTTTTTATGCAATATTCTAATGATGTATATGCCATATTCTTGTGATTTATAGGGACAGATGGCCAATCATATTGTATGTAAACGGACGATATTGTACCATTGTAATTGAACAGGATATTTTATATAGTGTCAGATTGTTCTGATGGACTTCTCTTATGAATTAAATATGACTCATCTTGTACTTGGTTTGATCCCTTGGAAATGGAATCATGGTATGAATAGACGTATTTTGTATTATTGTGTATATAAACGATATATCTCCTTTCACAGTGTAATTAGACAATACATGTAGACATTTATGCAACAATGAACAATTATCTTAATTTACTTGTTTTGTCATACATGTATGGTGCTTCTAAATCCGCCTCATTCAATTATGTAATGATTGCAACACTCTAACAGTTGGATCCGAAACTCCTAAAAATGTGTCAGGAAAACAGTTTTTAGTCGTATTACCCAGAGGATTTTCTGCCATCTGTATTTCCCACAGACATCTGTTGTGTCTTTCTCTGACATACATAAACTTCCGTAGCAGAAACCCAGTTCCTTTGCTCTAAGCTGTCATAAGCAAAGATTTGGAAATATAGAGCCACTTTCTGATAATTAAGGAATTAAAAAAAATAGAGGATAAGGTCATTTAGAAATTGCTAGAATCCTTACTTCAAATGAATAAAACTAAATGGCTCTCATAATATATGTAGTAGAGCTCCAATTGTGTTTACTTCAAAAACAGTTTTAAATTTGAAGGTCGTGACACTTGAGTCCACTGTCGGGTTCAGACATCAAATTATTAGAAAAGTAGGCGTATTTTTACAACCTTTTTGACTCTGCATGGCCTTGCCATATCACCTTGGACAAAGTATTTCCAAATTATCTTGTTCTTTCTACGTTGTGAAAAAAATCGCAACATGAAAGATGAAGTTTGATCAAACGCAATTTATTCATTGATCTCAGACATACAAAATCGGCTCCTATCACTTTTTTAAAACCATTGATTATTACATGTATTCAAATACATGTAATTTGATATTTGCATGGCGCCAGTGACTTATCAAATCTTAACGTGGACCTCTTATGGTAAAAAAAAATATGTATCGTTCATTAAAGGAATAACTATGTTTTTTTTTTTGGGGGGGGGGGGGGGCAAAAGTAAATTGTATTGTGCTATCGCACACAGGGTCGTACATGTAGCTGCCATTAGGCAATTTAGGCTCGTGCCTATACTCAATTTTCAGAAAAAATAATAAAAAGACAAAAATGTCAAACAGAAAAATAAATCACAAAATATAAATTTCGCCATTGATTGGGATCATTAATGTATCCCTATACCACCCAACTATGCAAAGTAATAGCCTGTAAAAGTTAAGCTGTTTCGTTGTATGACTCCTTTTAAACGGTTTTTATAGAAATAAAACTCCCTTGACGCAAACAAAAAATGTTATGTTTGGTTTTAATTGTCAGATCGTCATGTGTATTTTTTTTCAGTTAATACTCGACCATGGTGCAACATGTGTGAATATATGTAGAATTTTGATTAGGTCTCTAACAAATCTTTTTTTTTTTTTTTTACATTCCTGACAAGTTGTTTAAAACTTTGATTTTTTTTTTTTTGAAAAGTCAACTACCTATGACATTTTTTTCACCTATATTATCAAATCGTACATGCCTTCCTGTTAAAATTTCTGAAGTTGCAATAGAATAGACAATTAAATAAAAAAAATTCAGAACTTTTATTAGTAAAACTTGACTCGAGAAAAGAAATTATCACTGCATCCTGAAAGACTTTCCAAAATACATAATCAAACGAAATTATAGTTTTTATGCTTCAAAATGGTACCAGGGATATAAATGATCAGATCTAAACAGTGATTGAGTTTCTTCTCTTGCATATTTGGGGAAAATGGCTTTTTGATTGTTACATTTTACATTATTGTTTCAATTCTGGTTTGAAAGGTTTTAATATGAAAGAAATATGAAACAATAAAATTCCCTAGAAATCACTTTTTGTCCACTTAAGTCAATTCTTTAAATCTTAAAAAAAGAATTTTGATGTACTAGTTTTCTTTAAAAAAAAATACTAGATTTTGAAATGACCCTATTTTACATTATTATGTTGCACTCCTGACATCTGGTAGGTATTTTGTCTAACATTGTTTTTAAAATCATAACACATTCTTAGTTGTAATCAGTTCGTCGTTTTGACATTTTTTATCACTAACGGCAAGTTTTTCATATTTTCAAGACTTCAGAAGATGATTATCTGTAATAAGAAATATACATTCATTGTATTTAAAAATATGTGATAAATGATGAAAACTTTCCTCTGAATTGACTGTAAAATGTCTGTAATTAGTTGATAGACATAATGTTTTGAACATCAAATAGTATCAAACTTTTTTTTTTAATTTATTTTTTAGTTAAGATAGATGATGATCATTGGTAATTATTAAACAGTTTTGTTGCACTCCTGACTGCAGTATAATTAAAAATTAAAACCATAGAACACAAAAATTTATACAGTGTGGGAAACATCAAGTGGTAACGAAATTGTGCATTATTTATATTCCAATACTTTATAATGAAAACACATGGAAGTATTTAAACTTGGCTTTATATCTTGAATCATTCCTTATTTATGTCAAAAAACTAGCTAAAATATGTATTTAAAATATAAAATATATTTTATAGTATATTTTGCTTCACAGGACAAACTCTGGGATCAACTGAGGTCAACCAGAACCATTCTACTCATCATTTGTTTTTCTTTATTTTTATTCATATTTGATCAGCAATAATTCAAAAATATTTGTTGCACTCCTGACCAAGAACATGAGAGTCTTTAGAGTAGAATTGTTTAGCGAAAATTACATCAGAACCTGTTCCGTTGTTTCAGTGAAGTTGAGGTGAAATTACTTTAATTTTATAACAATTTTTCAGTGTGTTCATTTTTTACATTTGTAAAAAATCAAAGAAAGGATAAAAAACACATCTGAATTGATAAATTGAAAGAGAGAAGGATTTTAATAATAAAACTGTCAATATGTTAGTACTAAATTATTCAAATAGATCATTATTAATTAAAGAATATTCTTAACATGAACAGAAGTCTTTTCACCATATAACTTAAATCTTAAAAAAAAAATGTGTTGCACTTCTGACCATAGAAATATAGATCTGAAACACAGACAGATCCTGTTATTGATAAATCTATTTGGTAAAAATGTTTTTTGTGTCTTTATTTTCTAAAATAAAAATCAGAGAATCATATACTGATAAAAGTTTTTTTTCATGCTGGGGGGCAAAACATCAAATGTTGCACTCTTGACACTATTGGGTATGCACAGATACTTGACTTTCATTAATGCTGCTTGTGATTTATATAACATGTTTAAGTTTTAAACTGTATATCATGCAGTTATTGTTTTAAACTTTGAAAATTCTTTTTTGACTGAATTGTCTTTCAGATTTTTGGAATTGATGTTTTTGTTTGTTTGTTTGTTTGTTTGTTTGTTTGTTTGTTTGTTTGGTTTTTTTTTGGCAACACCACATTTTTCCTGTTGCACCCCTGACATGGTATAACATTTTTTTCAACATCAGCCATGTCCACAAATTGGTCAAACAAAACTTGCTACAGTCTACAATGAAAGCTAAATACTTTGAATATTATCAGGAAAGTCTTTATTTCCAACATAAATCATTTTTATTTATATCAAAGATCATCAAACATTATTGAATTTTCAAAATGTCACAAAAAGGTGTTGCACTCCTGACATTTTTAGCATCATTTTTGGGCAAAACATTTTTGTGAATTGAGATATCAATGAGATATTTGGCAAGTATTTAGACATCATCTAGAGACATATGCCGAGTCAAAGACAGTTTTCTCATTTCTTGTATATTTAGTGTAGGTTGATAAATATGTGTGTGTGTGTTTTAAATTAAAAAAAAAATTCGGAAAAAATGAAAAAAAAAAATCCTAGTGTCAATGAAAAAAGTGTGGAAATAAAACAAAACGATAATTAGAAAATGGAGCTTTTTATATTCAAACATCCGAAGACGTTTATGTTAACTAGCCGTCACTAAACGATGAAGCCATGCACATCGAACCGGATTTAATTTGCTGACCTTGAACTTTTTCGGTGGAATAACAAAGGTTTATCATAAAAAATAAGCAGTGCAATGGAAGACGTGAAGACATTCATGGTTGCTCATCTTAAAGAGATATGTGGGGCTGCTGTTATCGGATTTACTGTCATGGTTGTGTATAAGAGGTGCAAGAGGAAAATTAAGTAGGTTATATAAACTGCATATTTTGACTTTTTTATATAGACTTGTGTATGGAAAGCCAAGGGGGTCAAAGTTCCAACTGCGTTATTCTTTAATGCAAAAAATAATTTTGTTTGTAAAGAGTAATTTAAATTTTTAATTTAATTTACAACCTATAGTTAACCTTAATGGGTGTGAAAAGTAAATGCATTACTAGTATTATGATGATGGGCAACTTGAACATGTTGAAATAATGACATGTTCTAAATTTTGAATTTACTGAATGTGAGTAAATACAATGTTCTAAATTTTATACATATTCCCATCCAATAAATGCGAAAATTAGAACATGACAATAAGAAGCAGTGCGATTTGTTGATCAGTGAACATATAAGTACATACTAATATACATGTACATTGTGGTGTTGTACTGCATGATAGGACCTCTTATTCAATTAAAGACCAAACCTGCTTGGGCGACAGCACTAGAGAGCAAAGGCAATAGTGCTGGGGGGGGGGGGCAGAAAATTAATAAATAAATTACTCTTTTTGGAATACAATGTAAATTATGCATTCTGTGTCTGAGTCGTAGTTGAAAATTTAATCTATTTTACAGGTAATTATTATGTCTTAACTTATTTCATAGACCAAAATTTTAATGATAATATGACTATTTCTTTCAAGGTGGTAGCATAGCACGTAATGTTGCAAAATTTTATCTTTTTAAATTGTATTTTCTTTTATTTGTATTTTATATATTTTTAATCTCTATTCCATATTTTCGCCTTGGTATTTTATAATTTTCCATTTGTATTCTATTTTTCCCCATTTGTAATGCTTAATTTTCCATTTGGATAGTAAAATTTTCATTTGTATTGTATAATTTTTTATTTGTATTCCATATTTTTTCTATATAATACAAATGAAAAATATAAAACACAATTAAATGATTTTTTACAATACAAATGGAAAATAGAATTCAAATAGAAATTTATAATATACATATAGAAAATATAAAATACAAATAGAAAAATATACAATACAAATAAGACTTTTAACAATACAAATGGAAAGATCAAATATTGCAAAGTTTTACATGCCATACTGATATTCTTGTAGTTGAGTATTCCTCCTTTTTTTTATTTGGCACTCTACACTTGTATAAGATTTACAAATTTGCATTGGACACAAATCATTATATGTACATGAATAACGTATATTTGAGCATTTGATCGTACCCTTTGTTTTATACTAAATTTGACTACGTCATGTTCCGTCCACCTGATCAATACATAGGGCTCACGGCAGGTGTGACCGCTCAACTAGGGATGCTTACTCCTCCTAGACATCTGATCCCACCTCTGGAATTTCTAGGGGTCCATGGTTTATATCCTCTTCACAGATTTGTATTTTTATAGATTTTTTAAGATCGATCACTGTTCGTTATCTTCACCTTTTCATATGAAAAGACTTGAATGGTTTGAAGGCTTTATCAATTATCACAGCATATTATGTCTGTATGTTTGAATGGAGTAACGGTCGTTTTAATTATTATATCAAAATAAAATTATGAATGTTCTTCAATCCTGTGTGTTTTTATTAGGAAATCTTATCCAAGAAACACAGTAATTCACCACACAATACCAAGAGGTCCATTTGCCCCTAGTCTTACTCCGTTTGCTTTAAAACTGGAGACCTATTTGAGGATGGCAAAAGTTCCATATCAGGTTTGAATTTGAGTATGAAAATAAGACGAAGTGAAGTTTTTGTAATGTCTTGATTAGGACAAATGATAATATATGATTATGTTTATCTGAGACAAAAACGTCAACGTGTATAAATTCTGCTGTCATTGTAATTGAATCATTTAGTGCATATTTTTATGTACTTGTTACTAGATTAATTGTTCAATATTGAATTTAAACCAGAATGAATTCGACAGTGTTGTCAACAGAAGTTCTAAAGGAAAGTTAACATGGATTGAATACAATGGCGAAGAGGTGGCAGATTCTGAGTTTTGTATCAAGTTCATTAATAAAACACTTAACATAGATTTGGACAAAGATTTCACAGACGAAGAAAAGGCCATTGCTTACTCTTTTCAAAAAGTTGCTGAGGAGTATTTTTACTGGTAATAGTTAACACGAGAATCTTTATTAACTCTCAGATCTAACCTTGCTTAAAATTTTTATTGTGGTAATCTAAGATTTCAGCAACGTGTTTTCAGCATTGTCACAAATATGTTTTTATCTTTTTATTTTTCCAAGGATTTGGAATTTGCGGGGGAGGGGGGGGGGGGGGCTGGTGTAAATAAACTTCAATAATGATCCCTTATATATGTATATTAAATTTGGAAATGTATAAAATTCACTTGGGTTATTCGAGAACGTGCAATAATTTTTCCTATTACCACTATAATGTATTTATTTTTGTACAGTAAATGTGATTGATACTTGACTTTTCTCTTTTAATATAAAAAAGAAATATAGAGCACATTTAGAATTTTTGATACAGAAGAAAATTGTGTTTAATTGTTTTAGTTCTGGACTATGAAATGACTATAATTATATTCCAGAGGAAAACTATAATGTCACTATTACGTTAGAGACATTGGAAGAATCAAAATTATTCAATTAATTAAGTTTTCATTTTTAATCCAGGGCACTATTTCTACAACGCTGGGTGTACGATGAAGAAGGAGAAGTGTTTAAATATATCAAAATTCCTTGGATATTCAGAAAAATTGGGAAACGTGGCGCAATAAAACAAGCGCAAGCGCAAGGGATAGGTCGCCATTCTCAAGAGGAGGTACAGACACTTATTTTTGAATGCCTTCAGAACTTCTCTTCTTTCTTAGGTAAGTGACTTAAATTATTCTGTTTTATTAACGTGTAAATAAATAGTTTGAAAATAGTAGTCAATTTTGCTTGAATAATGTTCTTTGTTTGGTATATTAATTTTGTTCTTAGGGAAGAAAAAGTTTTTGCTTGGAGAGAAACCTTGTCAGGCGGACTGTGCTGTATTTGGAATTCTATCCCAGTGCTACTGGCATGGATTCGGTTCATTTACAGAACAAGAATTCAAAAGTAAGACAGGAAAATTTTATATAATATTAAGGTTACCTTGATATACATGTGTATTTTCAATCTGTTTTAAGGATATCCGATTTACAGCCAGGAAGGATAACTCTTAAATTTATCATTTTATTTAAAAAGTCTCAAAATGAAGCTTGAAATTGAGATCTTTTCGTGCAACAGTTTTCATTTTATGCATCTCAATATGATTCAAGGTTCATTGCAGTCTTAGAAACGGTCTTGTAAAAAGATGACATTTGCTCCCCCAAAAAAGAATAAAATAAATTCATTTCTAGAGAAATCGAATTTCCTTTGATCTAGCATTAGATACCAATTTTTATTAGCATGATATGAAATTATATGTGATATGTGATGTCTAGCAATAATAGCACGAGCTTTTTACACTATATTATATAAAATTGGAGTAAATAGAAGAACTAAAATACTGTATAAGCATAAAAAGATACAATATTCTCCAAATGCCTGGATACCTGTATTTTTTAATCTTAAAATATATTTGTTGATCAATTTTCAATTAGAAATATGCATAGCTGGTGTTTAATTTGCATTTCTTGAAAATATATTTGAGATTTGATAATTTTCCTTATATAATATGATTAAGTATAATGATGAAATTTGTAGAAATACCATGGGTAAATTCACGTTACTCTGTTAAATCAGAGACATTTTTGTGAGCATTTTCAATTACTAAAAAGCTGATGTTCAGAACCTGAAGATCGGGCTACCTTAATTATTTTCAGCTTTTAAATTATACACTTTACAATTTTACAGAATTAAACTTTTTATCTTTAATTTCAGAGTTTGAAAATCTCTGTAGTTACTGTGAGAGGATGAAGGCAGAATTTTGGCCAGACTGGGATGACTGTATTACACACGATGATACAAGGGAAGCCACTAAATGAGAGCGAAAGATAGAGAGTTGCGAGAAAAAGAGTTTACCTACACTCGTATGACACATTTATCGTGCACACGGAATAAGGCACAATTCCAATAAAGGAACAAGGGTCTGAATCATGGATCTAAGATCCTAAATTTCATATTTGAAGTAGAGGGTCCATTATTTCTTGTCCAAGGGTTAGAAGATCCGAAGAATTTTAAAGATTACAGAAGGCAGTTTTTCCCCTTTGCGTGTAGATTATTTATCTTTTTTTTTAATATAGGTTCAGTGTTTAATAGAATCGTTAATAATGTGCAAAAGTTTACGCACTTTTTTATGTGCCATTATTCTATAATCTAAATTTCATCAATAAATATTTTTTTCATTCATTCATTGGCGTTGTTTTGTTTGATCGTGACCCTAAAATTAACAGAGAAGCATTATGTACAAACTGAAGGCTAGCCGGTAGGTCACTTGAGGAACGAATATTGTCACCCTACAATGATTATTCCGGAATGTGTACATATTTTTTCGCCTGCAGGACGAATTCGAAATGAGACTAACGGATTACTTTACCCGGCGTTTGTCTGTCTCTCCGTCCGTCTGTCACACCATACATGTTGAAAACTGTTAGAGGTATGGATTTGATAATTTGCACATCTATTGCTTGGCACTATGACCTTTGTAAAATATCATGATTTCCGACCTCGTGACCTTTGAACTTGACCTTTGACCCACTTTCAAAATAGTTTACAGTGCCAATGTACAGGACTTTTTTGACATTTGAGAGATAAGTTTATGTCATTTAGCATGACATTGTGCATTATTTGTCATAAGACACTATGAAAAATACCAACATTACAGTCCACGTTTCCTTTGACCTACCTTTCAAAAATACTGCGAACAGTTAATTTCACCTTTTCTTTTAATTTGGAGAGGCAGGGCTTCAATGACTTGCATACATATTATATGTTTATGAGGTCATGATTATTTTAAGATATACGATGTCCAAAATACATTTACCATTTATATTTTATCTACCTAGGCATTATGACGTCATCCCATCGATTTACAGCCTCGCCAACTGTTTTTTACACAATAAAAAAATAACATTTTTAACTCTCATTTTATTCAAGGTATTTTTACATATTTTTCTTCTGGTTTTTTAATGGTTTCTTGGGTAGACTTTACTTTACCGGTCCCCAGATCCGCAAGATCCGCGCGCTCATTGCTCTATGACGTAAGATTTACGTCACTCAATTGATAAGGGTTAGTCTTGCACATTTTTCGACTGGTTAGGGTTAGTCTTGCACCCACCTGAGATTAGGGTTAGTCCTTGCACAAGTTTTCGACTGATTAGGGTTAGTCTCGCATCCATCCTAGAGATTAGGGTTAGTCCTCGCACGTGGGTAAGTCTAGCATTCGCCCGGGAGATTTGGGTTAGACCTCATACCATCCGAGAGATTAGGGTTAGTGTCTTATTTTTTTTTAGATTAGGCCTAATTAAGAAATTCAGTTGCATCGGTATTTTTTGCAAGATCTTAATTCCGCTTTGACGACATCTCTTTGGTTTGTTTACATGAAAAAAAGGCTAAGTACGAAAGAAACGACACTAAGCATGCGCCGCACGCGCTTCGTTGACAATTATTTTTTGTCTTGAATAATAACTAAACTTTTAACCGTAGAATTCGATTTTGGGGTCAAAAAGGCTAAAAACCTCTGATTTTTATTTTTTCGATCGCTCACGCGATCCCATATATACTGAAGTGGCAGGGGATAGTTTCTTTTAATGCCAAACATGTGCCGAGAGGGTAAACATATACATGCGGTCAATAAAAATATATACATGGGGACAGTTTCCAGGGGGCTAATTAATTTCACTTCATATACCCACAGCTCACAAATTATGTCAACATATAACACGCAATCTAGCTATAAAAGTGCACATGTACCGAAAATGCACTTGGGGACTCCCCAAATTTTAGTTTGTTTTTCCATTTGTATTCTATTTTTCCCCATTTGTAATGCTTAATTTTCCATTTAGATAGTAAAATTTTCATTTGTATTGTATAATTTTTTATTTGTATTCCATATTTTCTATATAATACAAATGAAAAACATAAAACACAATTAAATGATTTTTTACAATATAAATGGAAAATAGAATTCAAATAGAAATTTATAATATACATATAGAAAAAATAAAATACAAATAGAAAAATATACAATACAAATAAGACTTTTAACAATACAAATGGAAAGCTCAAATATTGCAAAGTTTTACATGCCATACTGGTAGTCTTGTAGTTGAGTGTTCCTCCATTTTTTATTTGGCACTCTACGCTTGTACAGGGTGTTTCATAATATATGTTACATTTTTAAATCTAATTATTTTTCTTACCTGTCATATTTCTATTATAAAGTATACATCATTTTAAACATCAAATCCTGCATTTTGTTACATGTGAAAAAAGTCAAGGGAATCACGGTTTTACAATGATTAATTTTGCCATAAACGCCGATGTCATAATTTGAAATTTTTTTCGAAATGGACTTAATTATCAACATATTGCTGAAATGTAACGCTGATTTTCAATACATATCGCCAATATTCATTCAGAAGTTGACAAAGGAAATATTCCAAAAGAAATTAAGCTTTCTTGAATGCTTATCAGAAAGCTAGTAACAAGGTCTAAGGACAGGGACGGGCAATATGCAATAAATGACACGGTACTCCAGAAAGCCTAAAGACTTCAAGAACTGAAGATTTAATTGGTGAAATGGGGACTCTTAGATAGTTTAGCAAACTCCTGAGGAAAGTGTCAGATGGATGTTTTCAGAAATTGATGCTGGCGATATCAGCATTTCCAGCATATATTGAACTTTGAAATATGATGTGAAGTTATCAGCGTACAGAATTTAATAATGCAATACCCCCCCCCCCCCAAATAGTTTGACCTCTGCATTTGCCAGTCTCCATCTTTGGGCCTTTTTCTGTAGGAGTTCTTTAGTACAGGGTCTACAATCCTAGACCACAGATGCTGAATGAGCTTATAAAGAACATAAACTTTCAAATGAGGAGTGTCTAAGCAAAAATGTGTGACAAGGTTATACAAATCTTAAGAAGAAACTTTCATTTGTAATTGAAATAGTTGAGATCATTTAAAACATGTAATGTGGGCTTTTGACTTATGAAATTCAACGTAACAAAAATGACGTAATTTCGAAATTTCGCTTATTTTCATAAATGTTTGAGATTTCGTCTAGTGATTAATATTTTAGTTGGTAATTGTACATAATGAATCTTATGGATACATTATCAAATTGATAAAAAACACTTGTCTGTATCTTTCTCCTGTGTTTGTCAAATTGAAGATTCAAAATGTAACATATATTATGAAACACCCTGTATAAGATTTACAAATTTGCATTGGACACAAATCATTATATGTACATGAATAACGTATATTTGATCATTGGGTCGTACCCTTTGTTTTATACTAAATTTGACTACGTCATGTTCCGTCCACCTGATCAATACATAGGGCTCACGGCAGGTGTGACCGCTCAACTAGGGATGCTTACTCCTCCTAGACATCTGATCCCACCTCTGGAATTTCTAGGGGTCCATGGTTTATATCCTCTTCACAGATTTGTATTTTTATAGATTTTTTAAGATCGATCACTGTTCATTATCTTCACCTTTTCATATGGAAGGACTCGAATGGTGTGAAGGCTTTATCAATTATCACAGCATATTATGTCTGAATGTTTGAATGGAGTAACGGTCGTTTTAATTATTATATCAAAATAAAATTATGAATGTTCTTCAATCCTGTGTGTTTTTATTAGGAAATCTTATCCAAGAGACACAGTAATTCACCACACAATACCAAGAGGTCCATTTGCCCCTAGTCTTACTCCGTTTGCTTTAAAACTGGAGACCTATTTGAGGATGGCAAAAGTTCCATATCAGGTTTGAATTTGAGTATGAAAATAAGATGAAGTGAAGTTTTTGTAATGTCTTGATTAGGACAAATGATAATATATGATTATGTTTATCTGAGACAAAAACGTCAATGTGTATATGTAGTCTTATTAAATTCTGCTGTCATTGTAATTGAATCATTTAGTGCATATTCTTATGCACTTGTTACTACATTAATTGTTCAATATTGAATTTAAACCAGAATGAATTCGACAGTGTTGTCAACAGAAATTCTAAAGGAAAGTTAACATGGATTGAATACAATGGCGAAGAGGTGGCAGATTCTGAGTTTTGTATCAAGTTCATTAATAAAACACTTAACATAGATTTGGACAAAGATTTCACAGACGAAGAAAAGGCCATTGCTTACTCGTTTCAAAAAGTTGCTGAGGAGTATTTTTACTGGTAATAGTTAACACGAGAATCTTTATTAACTCTCAGATCTAACCTTGCTTAAAATTTTTATTGTGGTAATCTAAGATTTCAGCAACGTGTTTTCAGCATTGTCACAAATATGTTTTTATCTTTTTATTTTTCCAAGGATTTGGAATTTGCGGGGGAGGGGGGGGGGGGGGGCTGGTGTAAATAAACTTCAATAATGATCCCTTATATATGTATATTAAATTTGGAAATGTATAAAATTTACTTGGGTTATTCGAGAACGTGCAATAATTTTTCTATTACCAGTATAATGTTTTTATTTTTGTACAGTAAATGTGATTGATACTTGACTTTTCTCTTTTAATATAAAAAAGAAATATAGAGCACATTTAGAATTTTTGACACAGAAGAAAATTATGTTTAATTGTTTTAGTTCTGGACTATGAAATGACTATAATTATATTCCAGAGGAAAACTATAATGTCACTATTACGTTAGAGACATTGGAAGAATCAAAATTATTCAATTAATTAAGTTTTCATTTTTAATCCAGGGCACTATTTCTACAACGCTGGGTGTACGATGGAGAAGGAGAAGTGTTTAAATATATCAAAATTCCTTGGATATTCAGAAAAATTGGGAAACGTGGCGCAATAAAACAAGCGCATGCGCAAAGGATAGGTCGCCATTCTCAAGAGGAGGTACAGACACTCATTTTTGAATGCCTTCAGAACTTCTCTTCTTTCTTAGGTAAGTGAATTAAATTATTCTGTTTTATTAACGTGTAAATAAATAGTTTGAAAATAGTAGTCAATTTTGCTTGAAAAATGTTCTTTGTTTGGTATATTAATTTTGTTCTTAGGGAAGAAAAAGTTTTTGCTTGGAGAGAAACCTTGTCAGGCGGACTGTGCTGTATTTGGAATTCTATCCCAGTGCTA